ATATCGCGTATACTCGGGCCCACCTCCGACGATACTTTCCAAGCTCATTTGGTCACAGGAAGACAAACGATATGCAGGATAGTAATTTAGTGCTGATTATTGGACACTTCACAACTAACTAATACCAAAGTCAAACCTCACTAGGAGCTAATTAATTAAGCAAGGCGGTTGGCGCCGATAAAGACCATATATATCAATCTCTCTCTCCCTTCCAAATCACTGCAGGGGCATATTCGTCACGACTCTCACCACCCCAAAATTTTGAAATGGACTCCGTTGATAATTTCGCTCCCCCGAGGAGCGTTGGCGAGCGTCTCATGGTTGCTGGTGGAGTGTTAGCTATAGGTCTTGTTCTGCAAATCGTGTGCACTGTGATATATCGATACTGGTTCCATCCGCTTGCGAAATACCCTGGACCTTTTATCAATGCAGTTTCAGACGTGAGTATAAGAAAACCTAACATTTATTCAACAGAAATAAACTGAACCAATCTAGCTCCCTGGCGTAGTGTGGACTCTCCGTGGCCGACTGCCCATGGAGACACGCAAACTCCATGATAAATATGGATCGGTAATTAGATTGAGCCCCAATGAGCTGTCATTCAACACGCTGGGAGGGTGGAGAGATATCTACGGACATAGAAGCGGACGCAAGGACCTCTCTAAGCATTCAATCCACGTCGGAGCTGTCGACCCCATGCCTGGTGTACAGACGATCTCTATGGCAGACCATGACAACCACGCACGGCAGCGAAAGGCGCTATCTCATGGCTTTTCTAAAAAGGCCCTCTGGGAACAGGAGAAGATTATCCAAGAATTCGTGACCAAGCTTATGGGCAACATCCACCGGTTTGCGGAGAAAGGCGAAGCCTTCGATATTGTTAAGTGGTTCAACTTCGTCACGTTCGATGTCATTGGCGACCTTTCTTTCGGAGAGTCGTTTGGATGTCTGGAGCGTGGTGATTTCCACTTCTGGATCACTCTTATCTTCGATGCAGTCAAGGCTGGGGCTATTGAACAGGCATCCCGGCGCTTTGCCACCGCCGGTTCTCCTACGCAAAAGCTGTTGCAAAAGCTCGCTCAGGGTTCTCTCGCGAAACGCCGAGCCGATCATTTGACATACAGTCGGACCAAAGTGATGCGGTATGATTCTCGAGTATTTTGCTGGACTGATAAGCGATGAAGCTCTGACAGAAAAATAGACGTCTTGAGGCCAAGGATAGTGACCGGAAAGACTTCATTCATTACATTCTGAAGCAGTCAGAGCATTACGATCTTTCGCAGGGCGAAGTTATTGTCAATGCTGCCCTTTTCATGTAAGATTCTCCGTGTGACCAAAGCTATCTGCGCGTACGGGTACCGGCTAACAGACAGGGCAGTGTAGCAGGAAGTGAGACAACAGCAAGTTCGCTGGCATCTCTGATGAACAATCTGTTAAGACACCCTCGAGTCTATGCCAAGTTGAAAGAAGAAATCCGGTCCACTTTCCAATCGGAAGATGACATTACACTCGAAGTCGCCCATGAGCTCCCCTACTTGAGCGCTTGCCTTGAAGAAAACCTGAGGATTTTCCCACCTGCACCTATTGGATTTTTGCGGGAGATCCAAAAGGGAGGCGATGTGATTGATGGCCATCATATCCCTGGCGGAGTATGTGTCCCTTGGTTCCTCTATCTATAATTACAGCGTCAAATTCCTAATATCACGTCACAGACTGCCGTATCCGTCAGTTCATGGTGCGCTCACCATAACCCCGAAAACTTCAAAGATCCAGATCTTTTTGTCCCCGAACGGTGGTTGGATGATCCAAAGTACAAGGGCGATGAGAAACTTGCTACTCGGCCATTTTCACTCGGCCCACGAGGGTGCATTGGGAAAGAGTAAGTCTTTCCACCCCCTCCTTGATGTCGTAGCATCTGACAATCCCTTGAAATAGTCTCTCGTATGTGGAAATGCGATTGGTTGTCTGTCGTCTTCTATGGAACTTCGAAATCACCAATGCAGACAGTGCCATTGAATGGGAGGCAGAGGATAACATGAAGCATATGAAGGCATACTCCACGTGGCAGAAACCTGGGCTCAATGTGTATGCCAAAAAGGTCCAGAGGTGATCATCACACGCAATAGACCCAAAAGAACTTTTGATGGAATATTTAGCATTGGCGTTAATCAATCAGGGCTCGGCTGGATATTGTAGAAATACTTTTTTAGTATAGTTTTACATCAATGTGTTAGCGTCTCAATACTGCTATCTATATAAGACCTGTTCCCCCATTAAAATCAATGTTAATTCCTACTCAGTGACCGACATGGAATAGTTCTACTAGTTTGGTTTTATAATAATAAAAATGACAACGCAGTCGACTTGGAATTTATCTCGTGGAAAAGGATATCCGGAGCAAACCCTAACTCCAACCGATCGAGTGGATATGGCCCCGTATACCACATTGGTTGGCGTCATCGAATCCATTCCCCGCAAAGCACCCCTCTTTCTCTGGCTTTATTTTATCCTCCGTGCCGAACATACGCGAACCTGGTCCCTATCTCTGCATGTCTAAGTCCCACACAAGCTCTATAAGCCGTAGTCGTGCTTTGAAATGCGATGCCCCCACCAGAGAAACGCAATGCCGAAGACGACGATCAACCGGATCAAACAAATTCAAATGAAGCAAGAGGTTATCCTCGTAAGAGAGTCGCACTCGCGGTAGGTTCCCCCCCCCCAGAAGCGCCGTGAAGCAGGGGGTTGATTCCAATCCAGTGCGAGGTGTGCCGTCTTCGAAAAACACGCTGCGATGCAGAGAGACCGTCGTGTAGTTTTTGCAAGAAATTAGACATCGAGTGTGTCTACAGGGGTCCTAGCAAGCATGGCAGGCCTCGCAGCGATAGTGAAGAGGCGACGGGCTCTCGCCTCGATAAGATTGAATCGACTCTTGAGACAATAGCCTCGTTGCTAGAGCAGAAAACAGCCACCCCTGCGTCTCATAACTCGGAGATATCCACTACATCCCCTGCGTCGACCTCGGGGACGAAAAGGTCGCCTATCATTCCTCGAATGCCAAACCTTTTCTCCTTCCGAGGCCCAGACCCTTGGTACTATGATTGTACGGAGGATTTCTTTATAAACCAGCTAGATTGCATGCCGGATATGCGTCACATACATCAGATGCCGGCCGTAGATCTCTCCCGCCCACATCTCTGGAGGCTCCAGCAGTCGTTTGTGGAGAACGTCCTGAAATGGCTCCCCCTTTTCGATCAGGGGACTACGTTGAAACATTTGCAAGCCGCCCAGCTTTCCAAATACGACCAGGACTCGCCATCTATCTGTCTGGTTTATCTGATCAATGCGATTGGCTCTCTCACTTTGGACAATCGGCTCTATACGGAGGCCTTGGAGGAGCTCCCTGGTTTCAGCTATTATCTGAGAGCATATCACATCATGCAAAACTTTCCCCTATTCACGAAGGACCTTTGCATACTCCAATGCAGGACGCTGACAGCGTACGTTGCATGTTCTCCGGTAATAAGTATTTTCTGACCATACGATGCACGCAGCATGTATTTTCTCTATGCCATGCGTCCATTGGAGTCATGGCGCGCAATCTGCCAGGTGTCGCAGAACTGTATTCTTCATCTAAAAGCTGGTATTGTGGACCGAGAGCCACCTAGCTACCGGGATGCGTTTGAGAGGATCTTTTGGATCAGCTATGTGATTGATAAGTATGTGGACCTTGCACGGTATGGGCCCGAATAGAAAACTGATCCATTTAGTGAGCTCGAAGTATGTTTAGAGCTCCCACCGAGTGGCTTGAAGCATTATGAGACGAAAGTGCCTTTACCTAGCAGCCACTACGAGGAGGAGGGAATGTATTGTCTGCTCGCAATATCATCACTACGGAAGCTCATGGTGGAGGTGGTAAAAGCCGTGGGGATGAAGGGTAGGTATCTAATGTTCTTTCTCTCTATTCTTTTTTTTCTAATCATTTTAAAACGACTTGGATAACTAACCAGTCGCAAAGGGTCTGCCGTTGCTACATATGCGCCAGTTGTAGTGATGGAGTTGCGGAATCAGATCGACAATTGGTATCGCCATCTGCCTAGCTCCCTCCGGTTTCCCCTGGATCGTTCTTTGCTCTTTGATAAGCGACGAGCATACTTACGGTGCCAATATCATGCCCTCATTGTGGTGGTCTTCTGGCCATTCGTCCCAAGAAGCAAGGAACCTCCCTACAACGGGCGATACTACATTGATGAAGAGTCCCAACGCATAATCCAGGGTTCAAAGGAATGTTTGACCGCATGTCGAGATTTTCTCAAGGGAACCGACGAGATCTTAACTCAGAAGACTCTCGGTTCTCATGTGATTGTTCGAAGGTGGGTGATAAACAACCCGCTAGAGCGTGAGGATAGACCACTAATTTGGGATTTAGCTATTTCACAATGACGATGGTTCTCCTGTTGACTTTTACGGGGGCTGACTCCTCTGACCCATCCGTCATGGAGGATCGGTCATTGTTGGAATATGCCATGGACAATTTATCCCATTGGAAGGTTGTTCCATTCTTAAGAAGACCGCTGGCAGAGCTCGAACGAATTGCGCAGCTCAAAGGGCTCTCGATTCCGATACCTCTTGGAGAGACTAGTTTATTACCGCCTTCCTGTGCTCTTTCAGAGAATTCCCTAGGCCCATGAATATGTTGTCAGCCAGTGTCATTCTGCTTTCTCTCCATTCATTGCTACGCTTATTCACTAGTGCATTTATCTGTACTTGATTTGCTGTCTCTTTCTCCCCAAAAGCAATAGTAGTGGCATCTGGTACTCAGCTGACTGTACATATATACATAACATGACTTACTGTGGACTATGGCCCTGCTGATTGATAACTATATAGGTTATAACTTGAATACATTGTTCTCGAGCAGCATGTCGGAGTTGGTCGGTGTGATTATCGTTGTATGCGAGAAGAAAGCAAGATCTAAACAGGATGCATGACTCATCAAATTCGCCTCTATAGCTCAGTCGTAGAGCGCTTGACGTATGTCATTTCTTCTATCTATCATGATAGTTCTTTCAACTAACAGGCTCCAAAGTTGTATAGCAACTGTATGAAATCAAGAGGTCCGTGGTTCAATCCCGCGTGGAGGCACTCTTTTTTTTCTCTCTCTCTCTTTTGTTATTATCAGGTAATCATGGTCATTTTCATCATAGTATTTAATTTTTTTTTTTGAATAATTGGGTAAGGAGAAGCGAGATCGTTAGTTCAACCAGGATCAATAAGAGTCAGATCGATACAATGACTAGATCCTGAATCTGGGGGGTCTAAGATTCTACACCCAAGATCAGGCCTCCATACAGGATACAGTCACTCACTCAGCCGCAGCGCAGGGACTCAAGCTTTTCCTTCTCAGGAATGAAGTTGCCTAGACAAAACCAATCAAGCCACCGCATCATAGGGTGACTACATGCTAAATTACTCACAATAATGGCGAACTTTGACTCATCTCCTTGACTGCAGACTAACCCAACTAGGGGGATGCAATGTAAGCTTACTTCCTAAACCGGTGCCCGCCGAGTCGGAACCATTCCACAACCGCCAACTTTATTCACTTGACGATCATCATATATAGAAGGACTTTATCCTGAGGAAAATGAGTCGCATCAAATTCCATACTTGTCATGTTACATTTCCCTTTGTGCGTGTCGCTAGGGGCACTGGGGCTGGCTTCCACTGTTGTCCTGTCGACGCCTCACTTGCGACAGCTTGCGACCGCCCACCGCGACAAACAACCTGAGGGCTACCAACCCCTGAATGGACATTCCGATGAGGATGTCATAGCTACTAAATTGCCAAATTCAAGATGGCAAAGAGCTGCATTGGTCGTCACCTCGCTAATTGCCACCCTGGCGGCATTTCCTCTGCGTTTGGGAGACTCACAACGGGCGATCACGAGCGGCCTTCAGTTCGCCGCTTGGGTAAGACAGATGGGCTGATCTTGAAGGTATCTCTCAGCTAACCGAAGAAAGCTTGTGTTACTACTCCAGGAGATTGTCGTCATCACCTGTCGCAGACCCGCAGACAGATATCGTTTGGGCTGCTACAGTGCACTAGCATGTCTCACTTTGAGTATCACGGTTGCTTTGGTCAAGGTGACTGAGTGGAGACGTGGATATCTAGGGTTGGATCGCCTACAGTTGATATTAGCTGCGGTTCAAGTATTATCTGGGCTCGTTTTGACTCTAATTAACCTGTCGATTCAAAAAGCCCCGACAGCTTACCGACATGGCAAACCTGTGGATAAGCAAGATTCCGTCTCTTTTCTAGCCCGCTACAGCTTCATGTGGGCTCGAGAAACACTGTCTGTCGCAGCCAAAAACAAAAGACTGAATCTAGATGACCTGCCTTTGGTGGGAGATAGTGTCCGTGCTCAGACACTGTACGACCGCTTCGCAGTTGTCAGCTCAGTCCGAAAGCTATGGAGGAAATGCTTCCGGATATATTGGTCCACGCTGATATTCCAATTTTTCGTTCAATTGGTTTCCTCGGGCTGTCATTTTCTCCCACAGCTCTTACTCTTCCTGATACTACAACAGTTTGAGAAGCGGGACGCTGGTGCCGACAACCAGTTCATCCTATGGTGGATGGCTGCTGGTCTCGGTGGCTCACTGGTAGTCGCGTCTTGGTTTTCATCTTTAGTAGACTGGATTGCTGACATGGAGCTGTCTTTGCCAATTCACGAACAATTGTTTGCAGTCATCACTCGGAAGGCCATACACCTACCGGACGTTGTGACTCCTGCCCTTGATAATGATGATGACGACGATGACGAGGAAGAGGATAATCTTTCCTCGACAAACGGCGACGTGGACGAGAGTGTCGCTCAAAAAAATGCCCCTATAACAAGACACTCAATCTTGAACCTACTCGGTGTTGACGTTGATAGCATCTCCGAATTTGCAACCTATGCTCATCTTATGCTTGACTGCGTACTGGAACTTATTATCGCGCTCATATTCCTTGTTCAAATCGTGGGATGGATACCTACGATGCTTGGCTGTATCATTCCAACTCTCATGACTCCAGCTTATTACTACTTGAACAATAAATATAGTCAAAGCGAAGAGGCGCTCATGGAACACCGAGACAAGAAATCTTCCGTTCTGACAGAAGCTATACATGGCATCCGACAAATAAAATTCGGAGCCTTGGAAAGCGAGTGGTACGAGAAAATCATGAAATTGCGTCACACGGAACTTGAATGCCAGCGTACCGTTTACATACTCGATCTTATCTTGATTGCAATCTGGTCCTTTGGGCCGATTATCATGAGTATAGTGTCATTGACTGCATATATCTACATCAACGGAACTATATCCGCCTCTACCGCATTCACCGCAGTCGCTATCTTCGAGGGCGTAGAGTCCACGCTAGCTATTCTTCCAGAGATGTTGACGGATCTGCTAGATGCGTCAGTCAGTGCTCGACGTATTGAACGTTTTCTGGACCTCCCAGAACGCCAAGATGACAGGGCATTTGGGGAACACATCCAATTCAAGGATGCCACTATTACATGGCCAATTGGTGGATCTGGGGATGCACAAGCTTTGTATCAACTGGAACACCTGGACCTTGAATTTCCTTCTGGGGAGCTCACAGTACTCTCCGGGCGAAGTGGCTCAGGGAAAAGTCTCCTTCTCCAAGCTATCATTGGCGAAGCCGCTGTTTGCAAAGGAACTGTTGTTGTCCCCAGCAGGGTATCGGATGGCGCGATGCATCCACGCAACTGGGTCGTTCAAGGACTCATGGCATATGTTTCTCAAACACCCTGGATTGAAAATGCGACAATCCGCAATAACATCTTGTTTGGTCTACCATTTGATGAACAACGGTACCATAATGTCCTTCATGCCTGCGCCCTCACGGAAGATTTGCATATGTTCGCCAATGAAGATTTGACAGATATCGGGGCCAATGGCATCAATCTGAGTGGAGGCCAAAAGTGGCGTCTAGCACTTGCAAGAGCTCTGTACAGCCGGGCAAGTATTCTTGTCCTCGATGATATCTTCAGTGCAGTCGACTCTCACGTCGGCCAACACCTTTATGAAAATGCCTTGACTGGAAGGCTGTGCAAAGGGAGAACGAGGATTTTGGCTACTCATCACCCACGGTTATGCTTGAGCAGGACCGCATATTGCGTTATACTCGACGACGGCCGTGTGCTACACGCAGGTAGCCCCGATAAGTTGGGTCAAAATGGGTCCCTAGAGGCAGTCCTTCAGGACGATGCTTTTGATACTCCACCACAAGATTTCGAGGGCGCAAAGAAATTACCCGAATCTGACAAATCGAGATATTCCCGTCGCATGTCGACCTCAAGCTTTAAAAGCATGGAGCGTCGCCCCTCAAGACTTGAGGTGCAGGCACCTGAGGCCGGTAAGTATTATGAGGAGGAGAAACGAGAAACTGGTGCTGTCAAAACAAAGATATTCAAAACCTACATGAAGGCCTGTGGTGGCTACTTTCACTGGGCTCTTATCGTCTTTTTCTTTGCTCTCACTTTGATCGACAACCTCGCAACGCCATACTGGGTTTCGATTTGGACAAGGGCATATGAAGACACCGCACCACTCCCATCGCTTGTCGTTCAGCCTGATCTAACCGTTACGCCGAGTACAAAAGAAGGGCATGTCCTTGATAAACGTCTCATATTTTATGTGAGCGTGTATGTAGGACTATCTATGTCTTCGTGGCTTTTGGAGATTATACGGTATCAACTGGTCTTTCGTGGTTCCCTGAGAGCCTCGAAAGCACTATTCGAACGATTCACCGATAGCATTCTTCGGGCGCCGCTTTTATTTCTAGATACAACACCGGCCGGGCGAATTTTGAATCGATTCACTGCTGATTTTAGTACGGTTGATTCAGATCTCGCTATGAATCTATCATGGCTACTGCACAGTACCGTCTTGGTGCTCGGCGTCATTTTCGCTGCATTGTTGAGTTCCCCCTTGATAGTTGGATTTGGATTCCTATCAATTTTAGCCTCATGGGTTGTTGCATCATTCTACGTCACTGGAGCTCGTGAGGCCAAAAGGCTGGAGAGTACTGCTAGATCGCCCATTTTTGAGCAGATTGGCTCGTTACTAGGTGGTCTAGCAACCGTTCGAGCGTCGAATAAGGAGGGCGAGTACCTAGACAAGGTATATGATCTGATCGATACTCATTGCCAAGCACTTTGGCATCGAGGGCTATTCGGTTGCTGGATGTCTTTTTGGCTCAGTATGGTCGGAGCGGGTGTAAGTTTACGTTCAGCCGAGCACTCATCTCTATACACACTAAACCAACGGTTGTCTCTAGTTTGTTGCGGCTGTCGCAGTGATGTTCGTCAACCTCCGGAAATTAGATGCGCCTCTTGCTGGATTTGCGCTGAGTTTCGCATTGGAAATGTCGGGGAATATCTCCTGGCTTCTATCACAGTATACCCGACTTGATCTCGACTTCAATGCCGCGGAACGCGTTATTGAGTACTCCGAGCTTGAGACAGAACCCCAGGACGGAATCAGCGTTCCTGCTGTCTGGCCCACAAGAGGTGAAGTTGAGATCTCTGACCTCCACGTCAGCTATGCACCACATCTACCACCTATTCTTAAGGGCCTCACTTTCTCGGTGCGCCCAGGCGAGCGTGTTGGCATTGTCGGGCGTACCGGAGCAGGCAAATCATCGCTAACCTTAGCACTTCTTCGTTTTCTTGAACCACAATCAGGATCCATCCATATTGATGGAGTCAACGTTGCCCAAATGCGTCTGCATGATCTTCGCTCCCGAATGGGCATCATCCCCCAAGATCCAGTCGTGTTTACCGGTACCGTGCGCGAGGTCCTCGATCCTTTCGATCGCTATGAGGATGCCGAGCTTCGCGACGCCTTGGAGAAGGTTTCATTGGCTCTTCCGCCCAACGGCGGTCCGCACGATGACACCCCTCCGTCACCAAGTGAAGAAAGCTCCGCGAAACAAAATATTTTCTCGCTGTCCTACCGTATTGCAGAGGAGGGCCGAAACCTCTCACAGGGCCAGCGGCAGCTTCTCTGCCTCGCACGAGCCATCGTCTCTCGACCCAAAATCTTGATCATGGATGAGGCGACCGCATC